AACTATATTCCCAGATCCACTCTAGGTCTTGTTGGAATACAGGCTCAGTCTCAAATCGGGAAAACAAGTCACATTTATAAAGCTATTAGAATATTTTTGCGTGCTTTCGTTTGTTTTTCCGCAAGTTGAGTCTCTTGCATACTATAACAGCGGTCTCTCTCTTTGAACCTTAGGAAGTAAGGCGTGTTTCCAGTGAATATAATTAGGAAAGCACGGATTTTTCCCCTTTTTCCCAGAAAGCCCATGTATTCCCTTGGAAATTCTAACATATTTGGAAGACTTTTGCTCTCTCATAGTTGATACTTGTATGTTTGAAACCAAATTTTGAGATTTTTCATTTTCCCATGTGGTCTTTCTTGTTCAGCCAATAAGGGGACACTCTACTCTCAATGTATAAACCTACACATTCTCTTCTTTTGTTTATTCACATTTAATGATGCAAATTATTTCAATACCCTCTCCAGGGTGAAAATGAACTATGTTGAAGACAGCACTTCATATGTTCCAGTTCAAGATGTCGTGAAAGCATTCAAAAATACGTATGGTGTTGATATTACCTATAAAGAATGCCATCAGATGATTTACTCGGCGTTCACGAGCCCAAGRCAAAGAACTTGTCCACTCAAAACTGTCAGAGTGTCTTCTATGGGAGCCCAGTATGTTTACCGTGGCATCGCGCATGTCAGGACAGACAAGAGTGATAGCTTCGATGAGGTGACTTTTTTATTGCCTTCTTTCATAAGTATAATATCTAAGCTGATTTACAAAGGTTTGATTATCCAGATTCTATATTATCAAACACATCAATAATTAATGACCCTATGCATTGCATCAATGTAATGCTTTGATATTTTCAGTGACGTCTATATGCTTGGATACCTTGATCGAATATACCCTGGTTCCAGTGGTTTGTCTTTTATTATTTTGCTTACTATGTTATGGTGCCTCGAAGTGGCGAAACGTTTCCGTTAATCGGCTTGTTTTTATGGTTTTACGTAAAAACAAACCGATTGACGGAAGCGTATCGCCGCTTTGCGGCTCCATTAAGCATAATAAGCAAAAAATATGAAAGATAATCCACTGGAACCTTCCAGGTYAAATACTGAGTCCTAATTACCCTTTCGAAAGCGGCGAGTCATAAATTTAGCATCGTTAGTGTTATTTTTTTCCTTCAGCAAAAAAATGACCAACATCAGCGCATGCGTATGCAGCTACGATAGTAGTAGGCATGCGCACAATGAAATGTGGAACCGCATGGTCCTATTTCAATGTACATTGACCCAAACAAAWCAATAATAGCACCATATAAGTTCATGACATTAGTTTGTCGCAATGAGTTTCTTGCTCTTTGCMAGGAATTTACTCTKCTGATGATCTGATAGATATGCAAGCTAAATACTTTACATATATTGGGTGACTGACTTGGGTATTAAACAATAACCATCGGAATCACATTATTAAGAAATACTAAAGCTAAGCCTTGGAAGCAGCTTATGCTAATATATGCTATTACCATAAAACATTTAATGTTATAAAACCCMAAAAAAGCTAAGCATAAGCTATTAGCATAATTTAACATCAGTACAGAAAGCGCGAGTTCACTCAGTTATGCGTCTAGTTAGAATTTTTTTTATTTTTTATTTTTATTTTATTTTTTTTTTTTTTTGATTCTACGAGACCAACTATGCAAATGTTGAAAAATCCTTGGAAATAAATTCAGGATAACACGCCGTACATGATGCTATGCTCAGTCATTTATTCGTAGGACCGAAATAGCTGTACATGATTTTAAGGTTTTTCCACATAATATGCACGGATGCTGGCACGGCTCTTTCATCTTGAACTTTGAGAAACCTCCATGCCTAGTGGTGGTTCATCAGAGCATTGGAAATAGCTCGAATGAAAGCACTCTCCCTGTAAACGTTGTGCCTCTCTCGGTATTTAGATCCTCTGATGAAACGGTTTTAACCGTTAAAAAATGGTAAACTTGCGATGGTATTTTCAATGTGTATTCGAGTCTCATATACACCCTTTTAATAAGTCCCGAGGTATTGAATTCTCCGCACTTGACGTCAAATTTATTCTTTTGAAATTTTTACAAAACAAAAGGAATTCAAAAAAATAAATTTGACGTCATGTTTGGAGAATACAATACCTCGGGACTTATTAAAAGGGTGTATAGACTCGATCAATACCAAAAAGGAATTATTTCTGTCATAGTGTGTTAGCATCTCAACTATTGATTTGATATTTTGTATACAGGATAATTATTTCGAAGATTCTCCGTCAGAGACCATCGGCCACAACGATCTAATCCAAGAAGAGCGCGATGAGGTCTGGCAGAAACTCATCGAAGAACTAAAACAAGAACGAGACCAATCGATGCTCGATAGGAACCGAGCCATTTCAGCGCTTATGGACTTGGAGAAAGAGCACACTAAAGCTCTTTCTGTGATCGATCAACTGAAGAGGGACTTAGCCGACACAAGACGTGTAAATGAAGTTCAAAATAAACAGGCAAAACTTGAACGTTTCCAAGAAAGTTCCACTTCAAAAATCCAAAGCGAAATGAATTCAGCGCTAACCTTCACCTGTAATAACTGCAGCGCGGGAAAAGTAGCCTACGAGCATTTGAAGGAAGAGAGGGATCAAATTTGGAGAGATATCGTGAAACAGACAACTTTAGAGAAAGAAGAAACAAAGAAAAGGCTTGAGGTATAGTGCAATCATATTAGTTAAACTATGTTGGTAGAAAAATCTGTTTTTATAGACCTTTTCGCGGTTAAAACCAAAGCYGGCAACATGTTTGCTGCAGTCCTCAAATGAACAAGATTGCGGCAAGTCATGTTAAAATTATGCCTTTTTTTCACGAATAAAAGTTATTTCCCTAACATTGAAAAAKAATAAACAAGCCTAAAAAATGGCAATCTTTTGGGGCTGCTGYCGATCTTGCCTCGCTTTGCTGAAACACCACATTCYCTCTCGAAACGTGTTTCCTAACCGCGAAAAGGGTTATTTGAATTGATGGACGGTTTWATCATTTTTTTGACGAACAACGTTGGATACGTCATTTTCATTTGTTTTGTTTATTTTTTACTACTTTTGATCTAACGAAGTACTTATCTACTAATAAGGTTGTTAAAAAAGAAAGGGATGTCTATCTTGAAAGACTTCACAGTTTTGAAAAGGAAAACCAGCGATTGCGTGACTCAGTTGCCGTGCCCTGCTCTCCTCCACGTAAMRCACAAAAAGAATTGTCAACCATGCAAGCAATCAAGCTAGAGAATCGGGCCCAGGCTCTGCGAAAAAGCATCGAAAATGCCGTGGATCCGCGGAAAAATGGCCGTGATTCACTCAATTCTGTACTGTCGCACCTCCGTTCAAAAAGGTAAGCCTCGAATGGATGTATGGGTAGTAATTTAAACTCATTTTGTGGTTGTTTTTATATTTATATTTTATTTCACAAATTTATGAAGGTTTCCCGTGGTATGTCCAATTATTTACCAAGGTTGGCGTCTTGACAAATCTTAAAAAAAAAATCTTCGAAAGTTGGTGTTTATCCACAGACTACATGGCGCCAAATAGTGTCGGAGGACATCCCCGCACTAGAAACTCATAAATTCGTTTTTTAGCCTTCAAAATTTATATACTTTTTATTTGCTTACAACGATATTTAACTATTAACAGAAAACAAAGTACACCAACAAAGTTTAACAAAGTTCCTCGGCTGTCAAACWCAGAAGTCGATTCKCCTTTGTTCATTGAAAGCAGTACTTCTGATTTGAAAAAGGTATTCAGCTTCGAAAGMTTTCAAGGAAGYCATAACTCACAGCCTTCTCCTCCACCAAACAACATCSAGAAAGACATTGACTCTAGTCCAGARACCTCACCCGATCCTGCTGAGATGCTGYTGTATTTTGAAGGCAGTGACATGATTGCATTCAAACCACATCCAATGGAGGATTGATTTCACSTCCTCCTGCAAACGTCGAAAAATACGAATGTGTGCCAAAGTGTATATTCTATGTTAGGACAAACCACACATCAATCATCCTTCGCACAGGGTTATCCCCGRTTGGAAAACCACTTACGTAAATCGTTCATCCCATGCACCATGCACCATGCATCATCCCACTCACACGATCGCCCATACGAGACTTTCTTTTCCTCTCATTCCATACATCGACCATTCAATATTCTGCGGCCACCGCTTCCATATATCATACTCGTCCATCCACCCCCTGCTCTACGACCTCTCTCATGCACAAACCCCAGAAATGTACAGGTCATACAATGTGTAAATATTCATAAAGTAGCAAATGATGTGGCAAAAAAGACTTAGCTGACTTTGTTTTCTTGTTTATCACAACATCTGAAATATACAATAATTTGTTCTGCACAGGTCTTGTTGGTATTGTCATATACGTAGGGCTTACGTGCACTCAAAACCCTGTACATAAATTTAGATAGTGCAACCATACACCGGCCTCTTCATGGACTTGTCGGACGCGAAGAAAAAAACTAAGGGATATTCTTAGACATGGACTTCCGCAGGAAACCAGAAGTATGTACTTCTGAGGAAACCCATCTAACGTATTTTTTAGTAAGATCATAAATAGTGGTGATGATGGAGTCGGAAGAAAGAAGTTATTGCAGTGATCTAATGACAATGCACACTTTGTGATCAGTATTTTTTGATTAGTTTTCCGAAAAAGTTCTTATGTCGTAGTTATGAAAAGTCGTAGTTTTTATTTTATGAAACAGGCAGAGTAAAGTTCCCCTATATCGAAGCTCAGCTATTAGGTGTTAACTGATTTGTATATTAGTATATTGGCCCTTCTGATATACAAAAAGTGTCCCCAAAAACCATCCATTATCAGAATTAATTATTCAAATACCCTAAAAATCATCATTTTTACTCATTTAAGTAAATTCTCTCAAAAAAATGTTACTGTCGCCGTGAGTACCAAATAGGCTCAAATTTGAACACAGCACTAATGGTAGTATGGTCTTTCAACACGTGGTGAGGCTCAGTTTTCAATTAGTGGAACGTTTTCATACTCCATGAATCCATTGTCCTACCAACAAGCGAGTGTTTTTTTTATGAGGCAAGCATGAATTTTATCACTAAGTGGACTTGCATATGTTATGTAAAGAAATATAACTGACAGCGACTTCCTATGCATGTCCTTCGAATTGAAAGAAGGACATTAAGAAGGAAGATAAGTACACATTTATATATTTATCACGAAGGAAAAAAAATGTTTGTGGTGAGTCGACGTTACATCATCACATTTGTAATAAACTCCATATTTGGTTTGGACTTGAGTGTGTTACTAAAAATACAGTTGTAGGTGTATTTCCAACTAATAAGCAGCTTACTCTGAAAGCTTGATGCATCAATTGGTTAGTGTACTTTGTAGGAGTGTCCGTCTCAGCACCTCTGCCACTTCAAATGTGTTCGCCATGTTGCCGATTGTTAATATGAAGAGAGTAGATAGCTCTGAGAAATTGTGATACTTCTACAAATCACTTCAACTTGCCGTGATTGAGACATCGAAGATGTGCATGAAGCATGCTGTTCATATTTAACTAATTGATCGAAATAGGCGACTTGCACTATAAGAAATCACGTGACTTCTTAGTGCAAGGCGCCTATTGATGGATTTCAATCCTGCCAAGACGCCTTCAGTCGATTAGTGGAAGACTTAGTGGAATGGATGAATGTAAGTTTGGAATTTGATGAATGTAAATAGTACTGAAGAAAATATTGCTGATGGAGCTTCGCCATTATCTAAATTTTCTATATTAGATACATGGCGAGATTCACTTGTTTGTTGGGTTTCCTGTGGTATTTTATTTCGGAAAAGACTGGTCTCCAGTAACAATCAAAATGGCGACAGAATCGTTCAGATGAACAGTTCCAGATATATTATTACGTCGTTTGCTGCCAAACTGAGCTTGATAAGAAGGCCTTGATCATCAGTGATGACTATTATCAAGTAATAATGGTTGTGTGCTCGTTTTTCCTCAAAGGACAGTGTCGTTATGGTGACCGATGCAAGTTTGAACATCCAGGCCACAGTGAGTATTGGGTATTGATCGATAAGCTATTTTTAAAACATTGTGGTTATATTAAGTTAACTGCTTTTAAAAACGTCATAAGATTGCTTTTAGCAAATTCAATGAAACTGAATTGCCCCTTTATATTATGGATAAATAGATATATCAGATAAATCGATATAAGCTTAATTGTAAAGAATATGTGTTCGAAAAACAAAATCACAGACTCATATTTTTGTGTCATTTCCTTTTTATACACAWTCCTGGCAACTTGATGTGCAAAATCAATAATTAGCATGAAATTTTTCCCCTCATCACCATGCACATGTCCCAAGAGTATGCACATAAGCTGATTATAAATATAACTACTGTAAATTTTGTTATCTAATTTCAGGGRCAAGTGGTGGTTTTGGTGGGGGCAGTGGATTTGGTAGATCAGGTCAGCAGACCACCAACAAAAACATCTGTCAGTTCTTTCTAAAAGGAGAATGTCGTTTTGGAGCAAATTGTAAATATCTTCATCCACAGAATTCAGGATCAGGTGAGTTCAGCTTGTCTGGTTGTAGAAAAGTAGGAAAAAAAGTAAAGGGATTAGGTTCATTTCCAGCTAATTTGCATATGTCTGTTTGCTATAGTATAAAAGTATTAATGATGCAATTCTTGCCTGCGTGTTGTTTTCATGACCCATTCATTATTTATTAATATTAAAGTTTCTAAGTAACGGTTAAAACAAAAGAAATATAGTGCAGTTGCATGTATACCATCAAAATATTACTTTTTTGCTTTTTAAAAATGGCCATATTCTTGACAGACGATAAGTTCACTTTATTTCTTTTATTCTAAGCCTTATTAATTAAAAWCTTTTTGCAAAGAAACTATGATATCAATATATGCTACATTGTAACTTCATRCATTCAAATTACAAAGCCTGGTTTACCTGTGTGTTGTAATCTTTTTATTACATTTTAAAAATGATCAACTAATCCATGTTTTATCAAAAGTGATGAACAGTAATGACAGAATGTCCAAACCCTGGATGATAGAGTGCAACTGTACAAAATCTAAGTTATAATACTTTTGATAATTTGCACTAAGRGTGGACCTAAAGCAAGATGGTATTGATCAATGCTTCATTTGTATCAATTCAATTTAATTTGCATACTGCATGCACGATTTACTAAATATAACTAAATAGCACTATTTAGTTTGTACAGGTTGCACGGTTTAAGTGTGATCACTCTATTGTTTTAACTTTAAAAAAATAGGTCAAAATGTCTTTGGAGCTCAGTCAACCTTTGGAAGCCAGTCTGGCTTTGGGCAAAACCGAATGTCTTCAGGATTTGGTGGTGGAAATAGAAACACAGGATTTAATAGGAATCAAGTAAGCTCTTTTGGCAATAATTATTTTGTGAATGATCTTCAGCAAATCTTATCAGGGCTAATATACAGCTACTAAGTAAAGGTTGAGTACTGAAAGTACAATATTGCAAATTGAAATGCATTTATCTATCCCCATTGAAAAGGAGATGTCTTAGTGTCAGAGTGATTGTATATGAGCTCCATTCAGTCAAGAACCTCAAAAATGATGCCATAATCATGCTGATTATGTGTGTTTAATAGAAACATTGCATTGTGGTCTACAGTATTCAGCCGCATTCAGTGTAGAATATTTTCTGAAATAGATGTACTAGTAGGACGTGGACATGTAATAGAGATTTTTGATTTTAGAATCGCTTTGGTGCACTTTCCAATGGGACTTCGTCGAGTGCATCTACTGCACTGTTTGGTGGAGGACAGCAGCAGTCTACCACAGCATCAATTCTTAGTAATCCAACACAAGTAACTCAGATGCAGTATGTTCAATCAGTCAGCCTGTYTGTCAATCAATCTGTCTGTCAATCAGATGTTGATTTTATAGGCCTTTTGCGTAAAACAATCACATGGCTAACTAAATCCGCCATACTGGATGGCAAAAGAATGAAAACAACCTCAAAAACAAAAGGAACACAACCCTGAATGTTCTTTGTTTTGGATTTCCCAGTTGGTGGACTTAATACCATGTGACCGTTTTATGCAAAAGGTCTAACATATTGAATGATTTCTTGTTTTGTAAGGCAAGTTGTTCGTCGTGACATGGAGACTTGGGAGACAAGTAACCAATGGCCTTTGTCTTGTTATACATACTACAAAGATGAACCTTGTATAACAGGTAGAATTATATCCAATGAACTTTGATTCAGTATTTTGCTGTCCGCAATATCGAGGTGTCCGTTGTAGCGGGGTGTCCCTAAGTCGAGAGTTGAGTAGACTGTACATCTATCATTGCACGCTAAATAGCCCTCTCTCTTTGATACAAAGACACAGTTACCTTTCAGTTGTGCAAAAATCCATAAAGGATACTATTGCACAACATATGACTGAGTGCATTTCTACAAAAAGACAATGACATTCTGTTCTTGTGGCTCCAGGACTTCTGGATTATTCTCCAGAAGAAATAAGGAAGGAAGCTTACGAAGCAAAAGTAAAGAATACAGCATCAGCTTATGTAAGTATATAATTCATATATTAAAAGTGATATAATATGTATTTTCATTTGGATAGTCATAATATTGTAACTCCATTAACTATAGCATTTGAACTGTAGTATTGGTAAAGAGCAAAAGAAAATACATATTATATCACTTTTAATATGTATTTTCATTTGGATAGTCATAATATTGTAACTCCATTAACTATAGCATTTGAACTGTAGTATTGGTAAAGAGCAAAAGAAACATTAGGTTTAGAGTGTTCACCATGCATTTACACATGAAGTTACTATATTTAACAAATTGTGTACGCGTTTTGAGTTGTATATTACACTCTTAATGACACGCTATTGATGTCATAAAAACTCAAGGCGACACACACTAAGCTCGCGGGTTTACAACAAAAAAACGTTTTTAGTCCAGCGAAAATCATTCTTTTCTMTCAACTGAGCATGTTCCCTAGTCTCCTTGCAGCCGTTGTTAGTGAGCCCGCCACTAAGAACGGCTGCGAGGAGACTACATGTTCCCAAGTCATGATAGTGTCAGAGCAGTGTGCATGTCCTCTTATTGACACACTTTAATCATCCAATCAGCGCGCGATGAATTCACACAAGTCTGGTAAAGCATTGAACTGACAGCATATACTTCCTAAATTAACCGACAGGAGCAAGGATTGAAGACTTTAATAGATAAAAGCAAGCAAAGAAGATTGCAGCTCAARAATATAAACATGCATCAAATGGTAATTTATTATAATTTATGCAACCATTTTTTGGCTTCACTGAGTCATGTATATCACACTTTGAACAATAAGAAACGTTTCTTGGCTCGTAGTCAAAATAATAATCCAAGCACAGTGAATGTGAGGCTCAGCCCGGAGCCTCGTCTTCAGTTCTTGTGTGCATGATAAAAAATATATCGTAAGTGGGCTGTTGTTTTGAGCATTTCCAAGAGAGCCATTTTATCACATACGAGATTTCTCCATCTTATTGATTTTGAACCAATCTAAAAGCACTTTATAATTTGAAAAACAAAAGAAACGATTTAAAAGGTTCCTAGACACACATGGGCCTACCTGTACTCCAAATAGGTCCAAGCCTTTTGGAGAATGAAGGAGAACCTCAAATTAGATAATATACGTATTTTGGTCATGCCCGTTTCAGCAAAATAGTTTGTGATCATTTAAAAAGTGGTCACCTGCTTTGAATGGGAACATGGCGAAGAATAAATCCAAACATATCGACCGAATCCGGCTAATTTGCATACGGTCGTGATCACCAAACAGCACAGGAAATTTTGAAATTAGTGACTTTTTTACTATATTTACGTAAAAATGACTAAATTTACCTACGAATAGTGCATACAGATCAAAAACAAAAACGAAAAGAAATAATTAATCTTACAAACATTTTGATATGTTGCTGTAGAATTTTATTCATTTTATGTCATTGAATATGGCGTGTTTGAAATTCAGCAAGCAGAAATCAAAGCAGCAATGGAACAGTCTATGAATAATTCATCGCCCCTGAGTATGCAATCAAGCAGCCAATCAGGTAGCATCTTTGGCGGGTCATCACAAAGCTTGTTTGGCCAATCACAGAGCTTTGGTGGCAGTGCTAGTATTGGAGGTGGAGCATTTGGAGCTGCCCAGAATCCTTTTGGAGCTGCAGCTAATTCTAATACGCAAATGCAATCCACTCAACCAAGCTCAATGGGTAATTTGCACTATAATAATCACACTTGTCATAATACATTATCTGGCATTGGGTGCAAGGGTTCTGCACTCCCTTCTGAGCAATACCTCATAACTTCGGTTTTTGTCTTTCTCTATTCAATTGAAACATTGTGCAGCCCCACTTGAGCCTTCACCCTTCCCTGCATGAGAAGCAGATGTCACATAAGACGATTTTTGAGCATATTTGTTTTTACTAGGCATTGTGCAGCCAGGCGCGTAGCGTCCTTTACGCATATACGCACGTGCGTACTAGTGGCAAGGAAATATTCGGGATTTAATGCTTTTTACATGCTCTCGATGCCGCTAAAAACGCTGAAAATCGCATTTCCAAGAGTTATTATTTCACAATTTCCTGGGGGAGGACCACCAGACCCCCCTTAATGCTCCCACCTTCGCGATCGTTCTCCCCATGTGCGTACTAACCAAGAAGTCCACGCTACGCGCCTGGCAGCGATGCATTTTGTGCAGCAAAGCATGATGGTAGTTGTAGTACTCAAACTTATTAGAGACCCTGAAATATCTCCAAGAGCCGTTTCTTTTTTACATTTTCTTAGTAGAAACGGTAAAACTACTTCTAATTTTGCTTGGACTGCTAAGGGGAACTGTTGTAGTGGAAATATAAAAGTGCAAGGACTACAACTACCATCATGCTTTGCTGCACAAAATTGCTTCGCTGCACATTGCCTATTGCTATTAGATGACATAACTCAAAGGAGGTTTGCAAAGAGAAGAAATGCTCAGAAATAGTGGTTATTTCCTCAGACTCAACGTTCTCTGAAATATCCTCATAGAATTTGTATGTTTTGTGAAATCGCTCAAGTATTTACCCTGATTTGCATAAGTTTTGGTCCAACAGGGGCTTCTTCTTCGTCATCTTTATCATCCAATACTTTATTTGGGTCATCTGCAAGTCAAAATTTGTTTGGCTCGGCTAATGCAGCAGCACCAATGTCTAACAAATCTCTATTTGGGAGTGTGAATACTGGGATACTTGCCAGTCCCTTTGCAACAACTACTAGTACCAGCAATCAACCAGGGACTGTTCAACAGGTTTGTGATGATCATGATAGCCTACGTACTTTAAGATCGCCTGCTCTGGTATCCCCTTCTTATAGAACACTAATTAATTAAGATTAATTAGCTACTTTTTTGGAACCCCCTTTTAATTCTACTTCATGTACTTGGCAATAAAATTTCGCGCGCATTTGTCGCCCAAATTTGTCACATCTGTGCTGCCTATAGCTCATCAACAAATATCATCAATTATCTGCTTGTATATAAGCTTGAAACATCAAATCTTCACTCGTCAAAATCACCATATTCATTTACTCGCGAAGTCGTCCAGTGCATGCATAGTATTGAAGTCTATGATTGCTGATAAAGTGAAAAAATACCTAAAATAATGCATGATAGTGGCATAATATAAGAGTCTAATAGACTCGAGACACAAAACCAGTGAAGTAAGGAACAGAGTGTTTAGCACAGTGTCGAGGGTAGGTTTTCATCACTCTCAGAACGATTTCTCTGATTGGCTGACATGTCGTACTTAAAAGGACAATGACACTTTTTGTCTTTTGTTTTCTTCTTTTGTTTTGAACAAGCCTATTGGAGTACATGTACATCTTCTGAGAGGTGAAAGCAAGCCCAGTATCTATCTCACAGGTTCATAAAAACCACGAAACCGAGACCAGATTATTCTAAAGTTGTTTTTGTGTATCCATGTGCAAGTGGAATTACATTATGGTAAAATTTGTATTCTTTTCCAGACCACATTTGGAAGTGCAATAGTTCCATCAGGACAGCCATCAACCAGCGCAGCTACACCTGAGGTAGCCTCATCTACTACTTGCAATCTGAAGTGTTCTGAGGAGGATCTTGCAGCATTCAGGGCTGATCATTTTGTGCTTGGTAAAATCCCGGAATGTCCACCGCCTCCTGAGCTTTGCTCGTAGATCAAGAAAACAGGAACAAAGTTCCCTGTGTTTACTAAAGCATTTCAAGACTATGTGGAAGAGATGTTTACTGTTTGACTATAAAGAGATGCAAAGTGGGCAAAATCTTGTCCGAGGTCAAGACAATTGAGTTTACGAAGGGAATTCGAATATTTCTCAAGATGAATTTATCGAATTTTGATATATGTCTATCGAATGGCTATTGAACAAAATCAAACAT